TGTCATTTGTCATGCTATTGGCTGCCCTGAGCTGGCAGTACCTGAGCACGCTGTCCCAAGTCACAGAAGACTATGTGCAGACTGGAGAACACTGATTGGGTCTTAGTTTGGAAGCTCAAGTTCACCATGAAATGGATTGGCCTTTTCTTCAAGAAAAAGATATTGGTACCCCTTGTTCCCCGCCCTTTTCCCTCCTGCTTCAAGCCCTGAAAGAACTCTGTGGACTTGGGACTTTTAGGAACTGTGACGTGCAGTCAAGAAGCTAAGAATAAAAGGGAAGGCTACCTCACCCTCAGCAAGCAGGCCCTTGTGCACGGTGCTCCCATCTACGCACCGTGGCCGGCAGCAGAGGGCCCCTCACTGCAGGTCAGGGGACATGGTGGCCTATGGGGCTGCTGAGAGATCTTATTTAGTGTGAATCCTAGCTAGAATTATAATTAAATGTATTTAATTTGAAGCAACCTTGGAATACATGTCTTTGTACAAAGTGAAGTGAATTTTCTTGGTTGGGTTCCCATTTTTCTCATTTTGTTTCCTTCAGTTGATTTGAATGTAGTAGACATCCATGCTTGTGGGTCTAGGCAACGGCCCCAGGTTTCCTAAGAATTGCAGACTGTCTTCTGCCCACGAAGGCTAAGGACTGACTGCTGGGGGTTCTGGAATCGCTTCTTGGTTTAAAAGGAGGTTAGCTTTCAGAAAGAAACTGCAGGACTGCTTTGGGCACCATCGTAGAAGACTGGCCTCCAGTTAAGGCTGACTTTTTAAGTAGACATCGTATCTCAAGATGTGTTTGTAATAAACAACTGAATTACTTTGCATTTGTTAAGGGCAGCTCATTTGAAAGCCTGGGTGCACGTGGCAAATAGGAACACAAGAATGGAGTTAGTGATGGAGGGACACAGCCCCATGGAGCCAGCCAGAGCAGGACCAGGAAGAAGGATCCAACCTGCCTGGGCCCTGCACGCTGTGCCCGCTGGAAGTGAGCGCGGGGCAGCCTCGCCTCCTCTGCCCGCTTGTGACCTGCACTCCCTCTGCCGGCCTGCTCTCACTTTGGCCAACTCTGCTAGCTGCATGCAGAAATCTTAACCATATCCAGGCTTTATGTGTTTTATCTTTTGTTTCTTTTTTTAAAAATCACCAGTTTATACATGGAGGCCTCGAGATAGGCAAGATGAGTTTTCAGGTGATGGGCTGGAAAGCCAAAGGGCATTTAGCATCCTTCTAGCATCAATGTCTGCCCTTAGCCCCACACAGGCCAAGGGGGCGCGAGGCACGCTCCTCCAGTGACTTACTGCGAATCTCAGCCTGGGCCGGGGAGGACCCGGTCCCTTTGAAGGGTGTTTGGAAAAGCCCCTCAAGCTGAGGGGTCACTGGTGTGGGGCATGAAAGTACTTTCTGGAAGCCATTCATGCTCTCGGTGTATGTAGCCTGCTCTTCTGCAGTCCGTTGTGTGGTGGTTTAATCATGGAAGCTGGGTGTTTTCCCGGCAGGAATGCTGGCCTCCCGTGATTATACACATACACTGATTTCCTCCTTGTCCTCGACTGCCACCAGACACAGTGGCTTAGTTTCAGTACATGGCACCTGCAGTGAACTGGTTCACTTGAGGCTCGGTCCTGGACAAACCTGTCACCATGCTGAAGTCAGGCACTTGCAACACGGAATATAGCTCTGAGCTGGGCTCCTAGCAGTTTAAGCATCAGAACTTGGTTTCAGATTCCAAGGTAGGTGGTTAGAAATGTGTGTAGAAATGATGGATGAGTTCTCTATAGCCTGTGTAGGACAGAGGACAACCTGGTAGAGTCGTGGTCTGAGGTGGTTGTACTGGAAGATTTCTTTCCCAGCTCAGTGATGACCTGTGGGACTTCCTGAGCTTCTAAATGGTTTAGAAGATCTAGGCCCCTCCCAGCTACAGAGTTATGTGACTTTTAGTGTCACTGACTTGTGCAAAGTCTTAGCTCTTGTGCCCGCTCCTGGGTGCTTCGGAAGATCATTTTCCTTCTAGAGTTCTCTATAAAAATTGCCGGGTAAAATACAGAATGACCAGTTCAACTAGAATTTGACGCCCTAGTTTTTGTTTTGTTTTAGTATAATTACGTTGCAAAATTATTGCACAGGATGTATTTCTACTAAAAAATTATTTGATCTGAAATTTAAATCTGATTGAGCATCCTTTGTTTTTGTTGAATCTGGCAACCACATCCTTTGCTCCACACTTTAATCATAATCAGATATATTTTATCTCTGGTCTCTAGTCTCCTTGATTTTTACTTACAGAGGAATATTTTAGCTTTTCCTCAGAGTATCTGACACATCTGAATCAGGGCTTTAAATTTAAAAACTCCATTACAACAGACAGGAGCAGGAGCCTGCTCTGCACGTTTTGGGAGTTTTGTTTTTTTTTAAGATTTTATTTGACAGACAGATCACAAGTAGGCAGAGAGGCAGGCAGAGAGAGGGGAGGAAGCAGGCTCCCGGGTAAGCAGAGAGCCCGATGTGGGGTTCGATCCCAGGACCCTGGGATCATGACCCGAGCCGAAGGCAGAGGCTTTAACCCACTGAGCCACCCAGGCACCCCATTTTGGGAGCTTCTAAGGCTCCAGATAGACCTGCATACATGCACACCCATCTCCATTTGGGGAAGTGCTTGGAGCAATTACTTGGAAGCCCCATTCTGTCTGAACCATTTCTGTGGGGCTGGCATGCACGTGTGTGTTGGGGGAGGAGAGGAGGCTAGCCATTTTGTTAATTAATCTTAGCAGTTTGGGAAGCAGAGCTCTAAAGCTGTGGTTCTCCAACTTATGCGTCCAAACTACCTGAAGGTCCCAGATTGCTAGGACCGTTTGTATCTCAAACCCTGAAGCATTTTTAACAAGTTCTCAGGGGATAAAAATGCTGGTCAGGAGCCTAGTTTGAGAACCATTGCTCTAAGGCCTTACTTTTCAAACTTTAATGAACATGTGAACCAGCAGGAGTCCTGTTAAATTGCAGGGGGCAGATTCACAGCTCCGGCCCAAATTCCGCATTCTAAGGTGCTAGGTGTTGGCCCCGCTTTTGGTCTGAAGCACAGCTGACACATTTTCAGAGTGGAAAAGCAACTACGTGCCCAAGCTTCAAAGTCTAAACTACACTCACACCCTCTTCTCGGTAAAGAACAAAAAGGCACGGTGCCTTCCACCGATTGACTACCTCGTTCCAACAGGCACCCGGGAAAAGCATACCACTTGATGAACTGAGGTGACAGGGTGTCAGTGAGGTAATTTGAGGTTTATTTAAGTATGGACATTGATCCCAATCCTAAACAAACATTGCTGGTTTTGTTTTCTAACAAAGGCTCCTAAGCCAAGTGTGCAGACGCCTTGCGGTTCACCTGGGTCCTTGCTGTCCGTGTCCCCTGGCTTCCTGGCTGAGCGCAGGGTGGACATGGGGCCATCCAACGGTTTGGGCGCAGGTTGAATTTGTCAGAACTACACTGAGGTTATGAAAGGTCTTCCAGTTGAAAATTTAACAATGAAGTGATTGCAAAGTTGTGGCTTTTGGCCTTTGTATTATGCTAGGTTTCACAGATTTTTAAATTTTTCATTTAATTCCGGCTTAGTTCCTGATCCCTAACTTCTAATTTCAATCAGAAGTCAAACATCCCATGCTTCTGAACTAGTCCGGCCCTCAGCTGGGAAAGAAGTTAGGTACTGACGTGCCAGTGCGATGGGAGTAATTTCTTCTAGTTTCCTGTTCCCTCAAACACTAGTATACTTCACTGCTTGGGATTCTTAACCAGCAACAGAACCCAGAGACGGGAACTCAGAACAGGACACACAAGCTCTGCTTCCACCCCATCCCAACATCGGCAGGGCCCAGGCAACCTGGCTCTCCACTAGGACAGCTGGCTTCCGGCATCACCCACACGCCACGCTTGTGTGAGTCCCCACATGGGTTACTGCTGGCTTGGGGCTGGTACAAAACAGACTACAACTATGTTCTTAGCTCTTGAAATCAAGCAGGGGCACAAATCATTGGGGCTTGAGACAGTTTAAGGGCTGAATTATAGAGCAAGGCTGATGAAAGTGACAGGGAACGACGAAGAGAGAAACCGTGGTTTGAGGCAGGAGTTCCCAGGTTTGAGTTTCAAGGACACCCAGATCCAGGAAGACAGGAATCTCCAGAGTTAAGAACGGACGGACCGCGGCATCCCACCAGAACACAGACTTCGCGTTAAGGGAGAAAACGTTTAATTGGCACAGTCATTCCTTTCCTGATTAAATTAACAGTGAAGCAGTGATTTTTACAGTTAAAGCTGGTTTCTCCCAAATGAGTGTCACTATTAGGCTGGGAGGCCAGTCAGCTCACGCCCAGCCGGTGGTATTGGAGGGACACAGTCTGTGAAGCAAGGACAGCTCTCCCAGCTGTTCCGCTTTCATTCACATGATCAGCTGAGGTGCACACAAAATAAAATGTTTATTTAAAAAGGAATCATGCCAAGGACAAGACCAGAGGATCTTTGCAGCAGCACCGCAAAGCTCATGAGATGCAGGTGTCCTGGGAGAATGGCTTTCTCCCAGGGCTGGCCCACTGGTTTTCTTTTCAACCTAGCCCACAGCTAGCGAGCTACTTGCTTAGAAGTACCCCTGCTGGTGGGGGACTGGTCTTGTTAGGGACTCCACTTTCCATTCCTCTGGAACGCCTAACATCTCTGGGTCTCGGTCTGGCTTCTTGGTGAGTGTGGCCGGGGAGGACGCGGGGGCGGCAGGCACTATGAGCAGCACTAGTCTGGGGGTGGGGGGGGGAGGACTCACTTCGCTTGCGGTGGCAGCTCACGTGGTCTAGGTGTGCACGGGGACTGCAGTCCACCCAACGGGCTGGGAGGTAGCCAGGCCTTGGATGTGTCTCCTTGGAAGACGGCTCTGACAGTAGACACGAGGTTTGGCCCAATCTCTCAGGCCCTGTCTAAAACCTCTTGTATCATATCTGAACTCAAAAGAATAAAAGACATTCCTACCCTCCATCTCCTCACCAGCCCAACTGGCTATATTTAGGGAAACAGTACCCCAGGGCTGGCAGAACTAATCCCACAGCAGATTAGATCTTTTTCCAGTACTGGTCAGTGCATGGAATACCAGCCACAATTTCTGATTCAATTCCACAGTGATCCTGTCCTCTGAGGATTTTAAAGAAGCCTGGAAAGCAAAAATGATATGCCTTAATAGTGTGCTAAGTTACGAGCCTTGCCAACATACTCAGATTTACTCCAGGAAGACTCAGGAGCAAGAGACACCAGCCTAGCCCCAAAGCAGTCACCAAACTAGCCCCAAGGTGCTCTCCCGACCTGTTCTGTTTGCCCAGCAGCCCAGCTCTGACCGCACTTCCATGTGACCCCACATAAGCAAGCACTGCATCCCGGGCATGGGGAACTGTGAGGGACAAGCACCTCAAAGCCACGGCCTGACCCTACCACCCTTTCTCGGGATCAGCGTCTGCCCTCATGGCAAGGGAACCCCTGGGAGGTCACTGCTGGGCCCCAGGCCCAGTGTTTGAAGCAGAGCAGGACAAGATGACCACCCCATCCTGGCCCACACACCCCGTGAGCAGGCAGGGGGCCGCCACTCACCATTGTCGCCCCAGTCCGTGTTCCAGGAGTTGCCCACCAGCCAGTAGGGTGTGCCATTCTCCACTCCCCAGCCCAGGATGCGGACAGCGTGGCCTCCCATCATTTCTCCAGTGACGTGCTGGTACACGCCTGAGAAAAGGACAGCCCGTTCAGGCAGAGACCGGGCTGCTGCCCCACTTACCAGAGCATCCCTCCAACCCGGCTGGCCCACCACGCCCTCCCAAACAAGGTTATAGAGAATGCCCTGATGTTCTCTCAGAAGGCTCCAGCGGCTCGTACGATGTGGGGCAATGATTTCAATAGGTTTTTGAAAGCCCAAGGCACAAATATGTTGAGTAAACGTTAAAGTGGAATCCAACAAAATGTGCTCATGGCTTGCCTTGAAAACTGAAGCTATAAAGTTTAAGCAGTAAATTTAATGTCACCATTCAATTCCGGTTACCATTCTACACGCCAGGACTCCACGTGAGGATTTATTTGTCAAAAGGGTTCTGTAACTTAAGTTTTAAGGTTCTGTCCCACACAGCACCCTGCGGAGGTGAAGTGAGAGGGAGGCCAGGGTGGTGGCAGCCGGTGCTGACAGAGAAAGCTACAGGCCAAGGTGCTCACGGGGCCTGTGCAGCAGGCGATCCCCACACTGATGAATCCCTCTGTCGAACTGGAGATGCACCCTTTTAGATTATAGGGAGGGACGACTCTTAAAAACAGCTAGCTTTATAATCTTGTCTTCCAGAATTATCTCCCTTTATCCAATGGTGTTCCCTAACTATGGATAGTGCTGAAATATTTGAGCAGGCAGAATGGAGACGGCAGGGCCAGCCACAGACTGTGCCAGAGTAGGGGGCTTTCTAAGGCAGCCCTCGGGCCAGGGGCGTCGGGACCTCCAGGGTGAATCCCCACAGCCTCATGCAAAGCCAGGTGCCTCCTGTTCCCCCGTCCACGCAGACTGTGTTCTGGGACTTCGCCAGCACATTTCGAGTTCTTCCTCCCTGATCTAGTCCTGTTGGTTCTCCGGAACCCACACCTCCCCTGCCCCGCTGCCATCAGGGGGCCAACACGCACCAGACTTGTACATCAGGAAGTCAGAATACACGGAGAAGGCCGCCTCTACCGGGCCGTTCTTGTAGATCTCTGCCATGATCTCCTTCTCGCTACTGGACACGCTGTAGGAACTGCATCCTGGCAAATGAAGCGGCCGAGTGGGTGTGAGGCGCGCCCCCCGCGGTGCCATCTTCAGCTCTTCACTGACTTACGGGGAGCCGCCAGGTGAAGCCTGCATTTGGGTTCTCACCCAGACCAGGGGTCATGGAAGGCTTTCCTGGGGAGGAATGAACGACGGCCCCAGACCCTGAAGGGGAGATGTGGGAGAGCACAGCTCTGCAGCAGGAGGGGCAGTGAGCAGGAGACCCTGGGAGAAGGAAGGAGCGGTGCCCTGAAGGTTCTAGGCCAGGTCACTCCCCTGTAAAACAAGGGGTCTGGTCCCTCCAACCCTAAGGGTCTGTGACTGACGCAACAGAGATCCTGGGGCTGGATTCGGCATGGAGACAGGTAGAAAACACAGTGTGCTGCTCCCTCTGACAAAGTCATGACCTTTCCTTCTCCCTCCTGTGTTCCTGGCTCTAAGGGTCAACTGCCCTGGCCTATCCCTTCCTCTGGCTCAGGAAGGATGTCAGAGGGTCCCTGGCCCCGGGGTGCTGGGCAGCGTGGGCCCCACCTTACCATAGTGCTTGTCTTCTTTGTAGGATGGGGTGTAGCCGGGCTCGCAGATCTTGCTGCACTTGGGGGTATCCCCCTCTCCTGTGCATGGGGGCCGGGAGCCATTCACATGGTGCTCACAGGGAGGGATGGAGTAGGGTCTGCAGCCTGCGGGGGCCCAGCGGAAAGGAAGGATCAGCTGAGAGTCTCTTCAGAAGCCCCTTTAGGGCAAAACTGCAGCAATGGTAACGGGGGTCAGATGTGCAGCACGGACACTGTTGCTAATTCTGCCCTGGAGGGGACTGCCTCCGATTCCTACTGGATTTTTCCACCTCCCGACCTCAACTCTCAATCCTCACTTTATAATGCAAGCAGATACCATTCTCACTCATGGCTTAGAAAATCCATCGGTCAGATATGGGCTGATGGCAGACACTCACCAACATGCGAGTCATAGAGGCCACCGGAAACCAAGCCTTTTTTTGTCCAGAAGTTCCAGGCTTCAGCAGGAAAGCCCCCATTACAGCTAAGGAAAGAGCCACGTATTAAATTCACTGTGCGAGAACTTCTAAGCTGTTTCCAGACCACACTGCCTGCTGCCTAAGACCCCAGGGTCCCTTAAGGATCCACCAATGCCTTCAGCAGCTGGCCTAAAAGTTCTCCTGGGTCCCAACCAAGCCCACTTCACCCAACCCAGGAGAGTCACTTCTTCCAGGGAATCTCCCTAGCTCCCGGGCCCACCCACCACCATCCTCAAAGAGACAGAAGGACCCTCGCATTCATGTCTACCCTGAACCAGGCTGTCACACGGATTCTCAGCACACTGCAAGTCCCTGGTGTTTTAATACAGAAAATGCTAATGCCGGGGACTGGGTTAACTGGAGGGAGAGGAGGCCTGGACACTTATTTCACTCCCAGGTATTCCTAATCCGCAGTCATATCTGAGAACCACAGCTGTAAAACCAAGGCCAGAGTCGGCAGAAAGGCACCTATGCTGGGAATTCAGTTTCTGCAACCAAGCTGGGGGCCCATCATTCCTCATTACAGAAACCAGGCGCCAAGGTTATTACATTTCCTTGATCAAGGAAAGGCAACAAGGAAAATAAGCAGGCTGGAGATCAGAAATGTCCCCACATATCCTGAGACCATGTCTGTTGTGCCAGGACGCACCACCCACACCCGGGGCAGGGTCAGCCTGGCTGTAGGCAGCTCCCGGAAGGCTTCAGTCCCACTGGGGCCTGCTTCCAGACTCCCCGGGCCCCAAAGCTGTCCCAGCAGAGGGCTGTTATCAGACTTGGAATACCACTCCTGCCCTCACGGAGGCCTCAACCTGGGGGCTCCCGTGGTGGGAGGGGCCCAGGGCTGACTCACCCGTCCCCACACTGGTCGCCACAGCAGGTGAGCATGTCCTCGGCAGACACCTCCACGCTGACGTGCCCATTGGTGCGGATGCAGATTCGGTCTGAAATGGCTTCCACGGCCCCAAACGCCTGCAGGAACGAGCCCCACCTGGGTAAGCCACAGTCCTGGGCCATGGGCTCTGCCAGGCACCATGTCGGAGGACCACAGTGGACCCCGCAGACCTTCCTGGTGGCTCGTCTCCCCCCGTGTCAGTGAGGGTCCTGGCACTCAAGTTTGTCTCTAAAGCGGGAGACCAATCCGCCCCAAATCTCCACCTGCGCACTTCTAAGATGTGGTTTTTGTTAACATAAAGCAGCTCACACGGGACGATTACTCTATGATTTTACCAACAGGAGGCAGCTCAACTGGTCGGTAAGAGACAAAAAACAGATGATTCAATGTACACCAAGTGCACCTTACCACAGTTTGAAACAAAACTAAGACAGCTCACTGATACAGAGGGGTACTTCATGGAGCAGAGCAGGGCTCCAAACTGCTGGTATTTGCTGACGACCTTGGGACAGCGTGTCCGAGAAGCAAGAACAGCTTTCCCACCGACACATGGGCCACCTATTCTTCCACGTCTTTGCCATAACTCATGACCACAGGGATCGTTATGATTTATATGTCGTCGGAAACGGACACGCAGAAAGTTTCTATAACTTGCCTAGTCACCTGGTGGTCTGGTCTGACACCTGCCCCACCCCCCCCCCCCCCCCCCCGCTCCCCATGGCTCGAGCCCCTCCCAGCCAGCAGGGCCTCACCCAGCAGGACCCGCAGGAGCCCTGGTCCCGGATCTCTTTGATGGTCGGGCAGTTAGACCACTGCTCCCGGGCATCGAAGCTTTCAGGCAGAATCATGTTCTCGGCAAACCAAAGTCTAGATAAAGGAAGGCGTCCATGACCAACTCACATCTTACAACTCTCCCCCATCCCTGCAGACGTTAGCACCTGCCACCTGGGAGGGAAGGCACAGGGAAGCCAAAGGTGACATCTGTGGGCACGTCCCCTGGGAACTTTATACAACCAAACCAGGAACTCTACCATTTAGCACATCTTGTTCCCTGTGTTTCTTGCTAGTCTTATTTATGGAATATTTTTCAGGAGTTCGGCCACAAGATCTATGTAACTGTGTTTCTTACTTCCCTCACTACCACCTTGGGTCTGCCCAGGGTCCCCAAAACGTTTTTAGCATCTTCGCCATTGCATGATGTCCCGTAACTATTCCAACCATATCGTTAGGTATTTCTAATGCTTCCTACAAGGGTAGTATCTACTTGAAAATGCCCATTACAGAGTTCTCTAGAAAAAAATGGAACACTGACGGCAGATCAGATAGCTTTTCTCAGATTCTCCTTCAATTCCTGAAGACTGGATCCACTAGGTCATACAGGGCAGACCTGGGGGCCTGCCCATTGGGCTCTGAGACATGTGGAGAAGCACAGTAGGAAACACGGCAGTGGAGGCGGAGCCCTGTCAGGCAGTCTCGCAGCTCCGAGGGAAGGGACACCTCCGGATGCCAAGGAGGACTTCTTACTCCCTCTTTCTCGCAGTCCCAAACCAACCCCTGCTGTTCCTAGGGCAGTGGGGCAGCTGTGGCCAGCATATCCATCCCCAGGTAGCAGGCACTCACCTCTGGGGCGGCTTCGGCCCACCCAGGAAGGTGCCACACAGCTTCTTCAGGTAGCTCCGGTCCACATTGTGGAAGTTGTGTCCAGCCTGCAGGACAGTCACAGCAGTCAACAGAGGCAGTGTGCAGGGGTGGGGTGCATGAAGGCCTGACAGGGCCAGGGGTCCCGTTTAGCTCAGGAGAGCAAGGGGGTTTGGGGGACTGCAAAAGAAATGTGTCTCCCCAAATTCATGTTGAAACCTAAACCTTAAGGTGATGGTACCTAGAGGTAGGGCCTTCAGGAGGTGATTAGGTCACGAAGCTGGAGACTTGGTGAATGGGGTTAGTACCCTAACAGGAGCTGTGAGAGCTGGCTTGCTCCGCCCACTAAGTGAGGCACTCCCCTAGAACCCAGCCATGCTGGCACCCTGCAACTGTACTTCCAGCCTCCAGAACGGCAAGCAATTGCACTTCTATTTATGAAGCACCCAATCAGTGGTATTCTGTTACAGCTGCGTAGACAGCCTGGGACAGGCACCCTGCACAGCAAGCGAGGCCCTGCCCCAAGGGAGCCACCCAGGGGGCACGCAGCTCCCAGACCACTGGGTATCTTATCGGATCTGCTACACTTGCTGAGGTCCAGAGAGACCCTCTATGGCCCTGAACATGACTCATTCTTTATTCCTGTAGGCCCACGCCTCAGGGCTGGCCAGAAGCAGGGAGCCGCCTGATGGGCCTTAACAACTACCAGGATTGTTGGGGGGGTGGGTGTCCAGGGTCTTCCCGGCTGTGAGCACTTCCAAAGCTCATTTATCCCCCGTACACCATCGTGTGCATGCACACACAGCACGGGGCAGGGGGAAAGAGCAGGGAGAAGGTTAGCATGGTCTGGAGTGGCTATGACTCTCAATCAGCCTGACTCTGGGACAGACCATGCCACGGCTGCAGCTGCAGCCACCATCCTTGGGAGGCAGAATGCATCAACTGAACCCCTGGGGGAGGGGCGCACACAGAAACGGTCCCCACAGCTCACCTTCCACGTAGTGTTCTGTTTGTTAACATAGTGGACCAGCTCATCCGACAGCGGCTGGAAAGGCGGCCTTCTCTGGGCACCCGTCAGCACCACCAGGCAGCTAAGGGTGGCCAAGAGCTGCCACATTTTGGAAGCTGGATCTTCGATTCACCTAGAAAAAACAAGACATCAGGATGCTCCAAGTGTGTAACGTACACGAGGGGGCCGTCTCAGGCAGCAGGGCTCTGGGGCCAGACACAACCCAGGGTCGAAAGACCCGTGTTCTCTTCCTGGCTCCACCATGTGTCCCCTTCTGTTCCTCAGCGTCCTTCTCTGTGAAGCCTGGGTGTGGGGGCACAGAGACCTCAAAGACCAACAGCGCCCATGAGCTCCCAGGCCCCGTCTCACCACAGTCCCCACCTATGCCCGTAGCACAACGGGCCACGCTGTGGACTGAGTGCGCGTCCACCCTAACCCCCACCCAAACTCATATTGAAATCCTAACCCCAACATGATGGGATTCGGAGATGGGGCTGTTGGGGGTGATTCTCATGAGGATGGGACTAGAGTTCTCACAAGAGACCCCAGAGAGCTCCCTCTCGCCCTCTGCGCCAGGAGCACACAGCAGGAAGGGGGTCACCTGGGAAAGGACCCTCACCTGACCATGCCAGCACCCTGACCTCACACTCCCACGGTGTCTCCAACTGAGAAACAACTGAGAAATAAACCAGGGGGGCGAAGACGGCCCTGTGCGCTTCTCCAGATGCCCGGGAGCCAGGAGAGAGTGAGCTGCGGGCAGGGAGGCCCCTCTGCGGCTGCAGCCTGGTAACTGGCATGCTGCTTGGGTCTCCTGGGGTCCCCTGAGCCGATCTCAAGCCGGACTCATGCTCTGAGACAGGGCTGTTCACTGATGTGCAGCTAACTGGGGAGCTGTGGGCCCAGGGCCACCCAGCCCTGCTCTCCATCATAACCCAAGGCCCAGGCCATAGGCAGTACCGATGACAACATCCGAAATCCGTCAACAAACCCATGTCTTCAGGCTAAAAGGAGTTCGGGGCCCTCCCTGCTAGTGTCAAACTGCCTCTCGCTGGTTTGTCAAACTGGGTTCAAGCCTTTTCCAGGCTAGTGCTCTGAGAGAGTGAACATTCTTAGGTGATTAGGTCCCAAAGGGAGAACCACTAAGATTAGAAAAATGCAGAACAAAATCTATTTCACAAGCTACATTTGGGATATAAAACGAGCATAAACAGGGAAACAAGCAAAAACAGGCCAATGAAGCCCAACAGCACCAGGGAGGGAGAGCTAGTCTGGCCAGTGACAAAAGTCTGGGACTTTCTCTGGTTTTTCCAGTCAGCCAAGGGCTCTGTTTCAAAGACAGTCCTTCCAGGAAGAGAACCCATCACATTATAACCACAGTCCTTAGATCTTAGCCTGGCCGGCAAGTCAGGAGACTGGCTCCACCTCTGAATCATGCTCTTACGCAAGCAGCTCTAAGGAAAGCAAGGAATGTTCCGGGTGCCACAGTCTGTCCCACAGTCTGTCCTTCCCCCTCCCCCGCTGCTGGAGACCCATGTGGGCAGGCAGTGGGGGTGGGTGGCGGCGGGGGCTGGAAGGGGTAGGGTTTCCTGTCCCTGACCTCAGGGGCTTCCAGAAGGACCCACCTCCTTCCAGGTCACAGCTGGGCCTGCGGCCTCCCACAGTGAATTATAGTTAAGGCAAGATTTAAACTTGACGGCTGCTTAAGCAACAACCCATCCGGAAGGACAGAGGTGTGACAACAGCAAACAGCTCTGGAAAAGAGCAGGAAGAAACGCCTGCCTGCCCCCTGGGGTAGTGGAGATCGTATACAGCCCTGCCTGACACTGGCCAGAAATAGTCCGATCAACAAAACCATTCAGAAGCTTAGGGTTCACGGCACTGGTGGGAGACGAAAGGCCTGTCTCAGGGTACGTGCCCGCACCACTAGTTCTGCATTGCGAAAAACATAGGAAGGCCAAATGCTTACACCTGATTTCTCACACACAAGTGGTATGCGGAACAAAGATTTTGAATAAAAACACATGAAGGAAATAAATGCAGTTTACAAACTGTACTATCCAAATGATAAACACCTATGATCGACAAACAGAACCTTAAAGAGACGGAGCCTGATTACTGAAAAAGCCTCTCTTTCTAGGAGAAAAACAAAACAAGATAAAAAGTGGCACACTGACAAAACAGTACTTCATTTCCTTAATATGCAAAAGGTGCTTAACAATCCGAATAAAAACAGAATAGAGAAATGGCAAAAGGACACACAATTAAATTACAGAAAAAGTAGTAAAGGGCACCTGGGTGGCTCAGTTTGTTAAGTGTCTGCCTTTGGCTCAGGTCATGATCCCGGGTTCCTGAGATTGAGCCCCACATGAGGCTCCCTGCTCAGTGGGGAGCCTGCTTTTCCCTCTGCCCCTCTCTCTCTCCGTCCCTCATGAATAAATAAAATGTTAAAAAAAAAAACAAACGACAAATAGCCATCAGATATCAAAAGATACGTAAGCACAGGGAAGTACAGATAAAATGAAGGGCTTGCAAAGGCTGGGCAGCTGGCCGGTCCCTGGCAGGGTCAGACATGGGCAGGCAGCGACGCTGGGCCACTGAACCGCGGAGGTAGGCCCAATCACGGAGACGATGGCCAAGACATTTCTATTACTTTTGCAATCTGCATGCCCTCTGACTCAGCAATTTGATATTTAGAAATTAACCCTACTGGCCTCAAATTCGAAGATACAGAACAGGTATACAGATGTTTACTGAATATTTTCTGTATGACAAAAGACAAGAAACAAAGCAGGTGTCTAATAAAAAAATAACTGTTAAAGTTATAGTAAATGATTAACAGAAGACAAAGCAGCCATCAAGAATGAACTAGGTGGAGTGAATCATATTGTCCTGGTAAAGTAAAATATGCCCAACACACGCGTAAGTGGAAAAAAGCAAGTAGCAGATGAGTCACGGTAAGCGTGTGAGCCCAGGAAGCGACGTACATGCCTCTTACCGTTACCACATGTAAAACATCAATAAAGTGTTAAAGTAGTATGTGTGGCGGGCAGACTTATTTTTCACTATCCTTTTAAAAAAATTAGATGAACACACTATATTCAAAGTTTGGCTCTTTTAGGAAGAAAAGCAGCTAGGACTACCCAAAACCCTGAGCCCCCAAATGTACTTCCAACTGACTCCTAGTCAACAGTGAGGCCTTCTCCTAGTGGCTTTCAGCTGAAAACACTTAACCTTCTTGTTTTCAGTGCCTTACGAACCTTCTTGTTTTCAGTGCCTTACGGGGAGGCTGCGGCTCCCATGACCATATCAGGATCCACATGGCCTCTCTCATGGTAGGTAAAGGTCTTGCCGTGTCCTCACACCTCAGAAGGAGCAACGGAGCAGAGGTCTCTCTCATAACATCTTCTAGAGCAAAGGAGCAAAGCAGTCGTGTTCCCTTCCTTTATCCTGATACCCTCTGACTTATACTCGCTCGGCAGCTTCACGTTCCCCCACGACAGGAGAACCTCATGAATGAACACTGGAGTGTGGGCTCTGGGCACATGGGCCATCAGACCCACGCCAGCAGGGCCAGGCCTGGATGATAAGCCCATTCAAATCACAACCGGGAGGGCTGCCCTCCCCGGCTTCCACTGTGACCCATCACGGGTCCGGGAATGTGGCAGGGTGCCAAGGCAGCCTCAGGGAAATATTCCCCACAGGTCACAGAGGGGCATCCCACAGTGATCCCTGGGGGCTCTGCCATCTGCTGAGATGTTAAGTCACGAGCAAGTGGGGAAGGGGAGCAATTCCATGGTAACTTGGACTTGAAACAAGCTTTCTGTTTTTTCTCATGGCAGAGAACAAAGAGGCACCACCCATTTCTCAGTCCGTTTCTGTGCCGAGGGCTGCGCCATGGCCATAGCCAAGTGAACTCCCGAGGCCGTGAGGCCCCCGCAAGCGAGACTTTCACGCACTTGCCCTTCTTCTCTTGGTTCCACAGGTCCTCCTCCATACTTCCTGTCAACGTCATTCTCCCCATCTTAACCCTGCATCAGGGAGAACCAAGGACTCCAGCGAACTGCAGAGCCATTAGCCTGGAGGTCAGGAGCTCAGCTTGAACCCCTGACTCCAAGCCCCACTAGCACTGAGCACGTGGGCACCCCAGGCATGGGGCTGTGGCTTTGGGAGAAAGTCTGGATTAGGGTTCAAGTAGTGAATAGGCTGCTGTGGCCCATGGTCAGGAGACCTGGGTTCAGACCTTACTGTGCACCCTTGAGTACCAACCTGCACTGAGCCTCAGCTGTAAAAGGGGTTGATGACCCTTCTTTTTTCCAGGTGGAAGTCAAGAGTGCCATAATGGCACCTGGTCTATAGCAGGAAAGCAGCAAAGGGCTACTCCCTTGGGCACCCTCAACTCCCAGGTCCCACCAGCCACCCTCCTTTTTTCCCTCCCTGCCCCCTTCGTCCCCACTTCTAGCCTGTGCCAAGTAACTCCCATTGACTCCAAACGTGCCCAGAGTACCTCTACACCACAGTCTGAATTAAAAATGAGGTTCTAACCTCCATTAACCTCCAACTGGGCTTCCTATTCTAGAGGTCAGAAGACTGCTGAGCCCGAAGACTGTGAAGTCAGATTTCTCCTGCTAGAAGGGACAGACACAGATGTCCCATGAGCAGTGGTGACTGCACCTCAGGGAGTGCCTGGCATCTTTCTGCATCTGCAGAATCATGCATAGCGGACCGGCTACAGCAGCTGGCTAATGTGAGCTGTGCTCTCAACAAGCCGGCCATGGGTCAGTCCTACGGCCTGCGCTTGAAACAGAAGCAGCTTTCGCTTCCCCTCTTTGGGGCAAATACTTCCCTTTTGTCAGTTTTGTGGTTTTTTTTTTTTTTTTTTAAATTACAGGACAGAATGAACAGAAAGTCCTTATTCTGTGAGAAAAGATGGGCCCAAACTGGGTAAGAACAGTTGGAGTCACCAGACTCGCTTGCAGGGCGTGGACAGGCAGAGGGAACAACTGTGGGCAGATGGTTGGTCCCTCCAAACATCAGGCAGCTGGCCTTCCTCGGGGGACCTGGGGTGCCACTACATCCCTCTGGCCCTTTGCCAAGCCAATCTCTGGTTACAAAAAAACAGGCTCTGGCACTTCT